GGCACCAAGAGGGCTGCTTCTTCTAGAAGTCAGGTTAGGAGGGAGGTCAAGTCGCTCCTCACCCTAGAGCCATCATCAGCTCTGCGGCAGGAAAGGATGGCGCCTCTGTGTGCTCATCACCAGCCGCGGGGATTCCGGGAGGAGGCATCCAAAGGGAAACTTCCTTGCTGTTTTCCTTCCTTCTCACTTAAAAGGCACCTGCTGCTCTGAGAGCCTATTACAGGCATCTGCTTCCACTACACGGGTGAGTTTGTAACCAGCTGTAGTGTCTGAATCATAAAATTAGTTATTTCTCTAAAAAACCGCAATCTTCAGAGAGCTACGTTTAGAAATGCTTAAAGTAAATCCCTATAAGAACAAAACAGAGTAGCTTGTTTGTTTCGAGTAAGTAGCCTGCATCCCACCTGACCTGGGTTCACACTTCCGGGCTAGAACCTGGAGCTGTTTGTTTACATGAGAGCCCAGACCCCCAAGAAACCTCAGAAACCACCCGGGCACGCCCAGGGCTCAACTGAAGGCAAAACGCAACCTGCACGTGCCGCGATGTGAGCACTGCCAGGAGCAGTGATAAACTGTCCCCACACGGGACACTGTGTGCTCAAGGCCAGGAACACGTCCCGGTGGCCCCTTCTGGGTACATCTGACCCACGTCCAGACCAGCTGCAGGGGCCTGCCCGGCACGGGTGTGGACAAAGACGGTGCTTTCTGATCTCCGCTGAGCACCGAGCGTTGCAGAGACGGGGTGTTGCCTCTGCCTCCTTCAGCCACAGAGCCCACAGGGGGTGGGCGTGAGTCCCTGAGAGCAGAGCCTGGCGCCAAAGCCCAGCTCTGAGAAGGAATGTATGGGACACTCCCACGGCCAGGGCAGCTACACTGTCCCATTTGCATACGAGTCAAAAATTGGAGCTATAGGTAAAAATGACAGCATCGTGGACTGGTCCCGTGACGGCGCCTGCGTCTGCAGCAGCCCCACTGCGATGGCGGGGACCTCCTTACTAATATGAAGGGTCTGCAGCAGCCCCACTGCGATGGCGGGGACCTCCTTACTAAT